GGAGCAGGTGGGGAGGAGGGCCGGTTAGGGGCGGGCCTTCGTGGGGGCGGGGCCCGCCCCGGCATTTGGCGGGCCGGCCTGGGTGGAAGTCTCCCTTCATGGTGGGGGCGGGGCCGATGGAGGCGGGTTTATGATATGATGGGCGTGTCCTATAAGTGGGTGGGGTGGGGTCCTCACGAAGTGGGAGGGGCCAGTCTTGATTGGTGGCATCGCTTCTCTGGGGGGCGGAGCCCGGGAAGGGAGGGGAGGACAATGAGGGTTGAGAGGGTCTAGCCGGGTGCACTCTGGGTTGGGGTGCAGATCGTGAATTGCGTAGAGGGGTACCTGAGGTGGGGGTGGGGGACTGTCCGTGCTGGACCCACTCTTGGTGGTTCCCAGCAGCAATTACCTCTTAACTCTTAGAACTCTTGATAGCACTATCCAAGTACCTGCACTTTTTCTAAGCACTTTACGCACACGAGTTCGTTGGAATTCTCCCCACAACCCTGTGAGGTGGATATTACCTAGTCCCTCTACCGACCTGGAAACTGAGGCACAGCTGATAAGTGTTGGAGCAGGATTTCAATCCAGGCCAGCTGTGGGCTTTACCACTTCGGGCATGTATCTGGGGGAGCTTGTGGCCGGGATCTGGGACTGGGGTTGCCAGACTGTCACCTCCAACCTGCTGGAGAAGCAGAGGGGCTCCAGGAGCCTCAAGTAAGGCCTAGGCAGGTCAGGCAGCCATTGCTGGGCTGGTGTAGGGGTCACTGGCTTTCCAGTGCCTTCTCTGCCTACTTGGGTTTTGGCCAGGTTCTGTGCTGCTGTGCTGGGCTCCCTGGGCCGACAGTAGCCGCCTTTGAGACCCAACCCCTGTGCCCACACAGCACACCCTTGCCTTGCTGCTTGCTGCATGAGGGTCTGCCTCTCATACCAGCTGTTGGCATCGTTCGCTTGTTGGGGGAACCTGGCCATCCCCAGGAGTGTGGTCTGTGTTCGTCGCTGACTGTGGTATCGTCCAGAAGGTCGAGATCGGGGTTCCGGGAACCTTGGGAATGTGGAGAGTGGGATGGAGCACTCCCTACCTGGGATATCCACGTGGTAAGAGGCTTCTGGGCAGAGGGAGTCCCCACGCAGTGGCCCAGAGTTGTCACACAGCACCGTGGACTTGGGGAACTACATGCAGGTTGATATGTTGTTGGCAGGTGATGCTGCGTGGTCGGCAGACACCAGGCCCCGGGCCTCGAGGTCTCAGAGGAAGCTCTGTCAGATCTTTGGGCACTGGTGACAGTAGACTGTATTCCAGAACTACTGGGGCTAATGCCTGTCTCTACCCAGCCCCAGTCAGAGACAGCTGCACAGACCTGGATATGTTACGGCTAGGGCAGGGGGCGTTTCTCCCGGCGGCCGCCTCCAGGTTTCTGTGGTCCTTCCCCACTTCTTACTTTCCACCGTTTGCTGTTATAAATAACCCAGCTCCAAGTGTTCGTACAAGTCATCTTTTCCCCTTTGGGTTATTTCCTTGAAATCTGTTCCCAGTAGTACAGTTACTGGGTCAGGGGCAACGGAGCCGGCTGTGCACGTCCCAGGAGTTATCTCCAGAGTCCTCTTCCTGGAAACACTTTGTGACACTGGCACACAGGGGCGATGCCCGCCTGCCCCGCTGCCCTCCCCCACTGGCCTCCTTTTCTGTGTTGAGCAGGTGCTCTGCTGACCTTTCCAAGCTGGGTTGGAAGTGAAAGTCTAACCCACAAGGTCAGCATTTCGCAGACGAGTCATCTGAGACCTCATCTTCACACTTTAAACCTTGTCGGAGGATCCCCTGCTACCTTTTTATTAAATTGAAGTATAGTCGATATACAGTGTTTTCTTAGCTTCTGATGTACAGCATAGTGATTCAGTTTTATATACATATATATATATATATATATAAATCCCTTTTCATATTCTTTTTCATTATAGGGTGTTATAAAGTATTGAATATAGTTCCCTTGCTATACTGTAGGACCTTGTTGTTTACCTCTTTTATATATAGTAGTTAATATCTGCAAATCCCAAACTCCCAATTTATCCCTCCATCCGCTCTTCTCCCCTGGTAACCTTAAGTTTGTTTTCTGTGTGAGTCTGTTTCTGTTTTGTAACTAAGTTCATTTGTATCATTTTTTTTAAGATTTCACATATAAGTGATACACAGTATTTTTCTTTCTCTTTCTGACTTTCTTCACTTAGTATGACGATCACCAGGTCCACCCAGTTGCTGCTTTTTTTTTTTTTCAGTGAAGATACTGGGGATTGAACCCGGGACCTTGTGCATGCTAAAGCATGCGCTCTACCACTGAGCTCTACCGTCCCCTCTATCTTTTAATATTTGTCTTTAAATACACTCAGTTCTTCACTCACTTCAGTAGGAGGAGGAAACTCTGACTCTGGCAAATATGGAAGGAAAGAAGGAAGCCAGCAGGCAGGCATGCCACTGACCATCAGATCACTGACCATAAATATGACGACAAGACAGAAACATGAAATACTGCACCCCGCAGACCCTCCTGAGACCCCCCCCCGTGGCCTGCAGAGGGTTGGGCCTAGGTGTTAGAGACGTATCCGGGACGTAGGTGTACCAGAGGGTTGACAAGGACCAACTTTCTCACCTCACAGCTCCCCAGCCTTGCCTCCTGGTTGGGGGTGCCCTTCAGGAACGGAGCGGGCAGCCATCCTCCCACACCCCACTCTGTCCCCAGTCTGCCCCAGGCTTCAATCCTCTTCCCCTGGCCCTGCCCTGGGCACGGGGAAGTGGGGGTAACATCTCTCACT